CCCGTTACGTGCTGTAATCCTGGACGATGACAGCCCTTGCAGCCTGGGGTTAGGACAGCAGATGCTCCCGGGGGTCACCCCCTTTCCCACAGGGAAGGGCAGGATTCCTCCCAGCGAGCTGGCAGGCAGGGAACCCTGCCTGGAGGGATCCCATTGCTTATTCAGTACGTACACACCCCACACCCCCCCTTTCCAGTATCCGCTTAGTGGCCTGGTTTCTTCTCAAAGCTTTTTATATTTCACATTCCTAAGATTTAATTATGTTATCAGAACAACAGGCATCAGGATTTGGAGTGCCAGAATTCACATTAGCAATTGCTATCAACAAAGAAAATGGGCACAGCATGCCCATGCCAGAGTAGATGTGGGCTGCTCTCCTCAATCTACTCGGGGTTATTTATAGCCTGTTTGCAAGCCATCCACCTCCCAGGTTTAGCTTCAAGCTCGCTTCTTTCTGAGCGCCCTCTCCCTCAAAGAAGAACCTTTTGCCTCCCCCTTCCTTAGCACATTTTTTGGGGCAGGGGGGATAAACCACCTTTGAATCTTCTTCCATACAGCCACAACAGCAGAGAAAAGTGAAAACAGAGTGTGCCACAAATACGCAGCCTCAGGGAGACCCCCCCCAGTGGTAGAAATTTAAAAAAAAAAAAAAAATTTATAGTTTCTAACACTTCACCACATCGGAGCAGGACCGCTGTGCATCTCCAGCAGCTCTCCGCCCGCCCCGCGGATGAGGATGGAGGCACAAGCTCCACAAGGCAGGACGCACGCTTGAACGCAAGAAACACCTCCCTATGTTGAGATGATTGCAAAGAAGCGGCTATGCGATAGCAGGAGGGGAGAGAGAGCTGTGCCTCCACACCAGCATTAACTGTAATTTGCCCATCCCTCAACCAGCATCATTTCAAGGCAGTCTGATTCTGCCAGGATCCTTCGCCTCCAAATAATTAAGAAATACAAGATGCAGTGCGTGTAGTAGAGGTGCAAACCTACCCACCAGCTTATTTTCCTCCCCTGAGCAGAGCTGGCATGGGCAGCTCGCGTCTTCTTCCTCCTAATCCCAGCTCCTGCTAAATTAACCCCAGTTTTAAGGCGGATGTTAGCAGGAGCTGGATCAGACCTCAGCTCTCCTAAGCCTGGGAGAGTTTCGGTACTTAAGAGAACCCCTTCACGCAAGTTAGCCGACACGGCTTTGGTCAGCCCAGTAGCGTTGAGATGCCGGCGGGCACCGGCACCTTTGCCGGGCTGTCCTCGCACGCCGCATCGCTTCTGCGTTCGCAGGCTCATCACCCGGTCCCCAGCACCCGCCTGCGGCTGTAAAGCAGCATCGCTCAGGGCAGGGCTGGTCCAAAGCTCACGCAGGGCATCGAAGGGAGACTGGAGCCCGTTCAAACCTCCCTGATACCAGTTAAAATGCAGAAGTGGTGCTGGTTTTACTCCTGCCCAGTGACTAAGGAAACGCTCGGTCAGGCTCTGACTGAGATATGGCAGCTCCTCACATGCCTAAAATTCCATGTGGCCCTGAAAAAGAAAGACATTATTAGAGTATGTAATAATAATTTTTTTTAAAAAGCAGCACAACCACCTGTAAAATGTTAATAATAAAACCAATAATAAAATAAAAAGTAATTAATATTTTTTTTTTTAATAAATAACAATAAAAAATAAAAACACCACACCCCTTCCACTAAAGAGGGGAGAGGAGGAGGAGGCTCAAGCTTACAACTCTAGCACGTTTTATTTTGTGTAAATTTATAAAGACAACAATCCTAGTCACGATTGTCACATTGTACAGCACATACCAATACAGTTGCAAACAGAACTCCACGCAAAACTAAGCGCTAACAGTAGCTTGAATCACTCTTCCTGCGATTGTCGTATCTAGACTAACAGTTTTACACTAACACTGAAGAAAAAATAGTTCACTATAAAACAGTGATAGAACGTTTTTTATAAAATATATTCCATTCCAATAGCTTTTCTACATACTGTATACTATAAAACTCTCCCACAAAAATTAGTGTCTTTAAATATACATATTTAATCTGAACTGCACCAAGATTAAAAACAATTAAAAATATCAATGATTTTTTTTTTTTTACATTAACTTCACAGTATTTGTTTGTAGTAGAAGACAAATCCAGTGTTTAAAATGCGGAGCAGGACTGTCCCCTACAGAAACAGTAACCGCCCCACAGTGAAACAGTTTATGAAGAGACAAGCATAAGTGTGCAATGTTTTTAGTACTTCTCTGTAGAGCCATGAACCATTTTAAAAACATGCTCCGAGCTATTGCAACTTAAAAATAAGAGAGACACACAGAGAGATAGCCAAAAAAAGTCACCTTAAGAACAAAAATAAGTGCAAACATTTTTTTACTTTAGAAATTCAAGCTATGAGGAGTGGGAACACAAATACCAGACTACGAGAACAGCGTGTTCATGATGTAGTAAAGAATGAGAAAGTCTTTTTTTTTCTTTTTCTTTTTTTTGTAAAAAAAACTTTTGCCCCAATTCACTGCAGTACAGAGCATGCTCATAGCATCAGTTTAATGAATTATTTCTACACTAAGATCAGACACAAACTTGTTTCAACTTTTCCCTGCTCCATACGCTAACGATGTTCTTATGGCACATCCTATTTTATGATCTTCTTAAAAAAAAAAAAAAAACACAACACAAGAACAAAAACAAAACCAACCAACAGTAATTGAAGACTGAAATGCAAAAAAAGTGTCACAAGAATGCAAAATTAAGATTACCAGCTTCAGTAATGCTGACTCTACATTAAACTCTTTACATGTTGTTCAACATGCAAAACCCATTGTTATAAAATTTAAAGTGAAGTGTAAATTAACTAGTTTTGAATTAGATTAACAGTAATAATTCCACTTCAAAAAAAAAATCTAATAAATACTATATCAAGTATCTTCAGGAGAAAAAAAATAACTTAATTTTAGTAGAAAGAAAAATAACTTAATTTTAGTAGATTTTGTTCAGTGCTATTTCCAATCACAGCAAAAAAGAAAAAAAAAAAAAGGAAGAAAAAAACTGATAAGTAGAATAAGACCACAGTACCAAAGCCACTTATGTTCAAGATACAGTACTCTCCCACAACTTTCATATGTAACAGGTTCAGCAAAAATATTTTACAGTCGAGAAATTAGACTGAAAACAAAAAAAACCAAAACTATAAATAGAAGCAAAATTTCACATTACATGTACATTCATAGTTTAAGAGATGAATAATAGAGGAGGCTGTAACAAGTAGATCCTGATTTTCTTTAAAAAAGGAAGTACTTATTTAAAAAAAAAACAAAAAAAAAACCCAAAAAAACCAATCCCATATTATTTATGTAGGTAGTGCTCAGTTTTTGGACCAGAGGGGGAAGGCATCGGGAAGTTTTTTCTTCATAAGATGAAATACAGTATTTTAAGCACAACTTTTTAAAATAACCTTACTCAGTGCTTCAAATTCATTTTAAAATAAACGCTCAAGTTTCACAAAACAACTCCAGGAGTGTCAGGAAAGCTGGTGAAGCAACGCTAACGCAGCAGAACAACATTCAAAACCCTCAGACATCATTATTATTATTATATTTCAGTCCCATGTACATGTACCTTGAATGGGTAAATTGAATGGAAGGGAATAATCTGATATTTACTGACATGCACAGACCAAAGGATGCTCTATTAGGCAAGTAATTGAGTTATTTGGAGTAAAACTGGTTATAGTTACAGGCAGCCTCAGTTTACAAACAAACGAAAAAAAAAAAAAACCACCTAAAAATACCCCAGAAACCTCCCCTGAAAAAGTGGGACACGGGGGAAAAAGTTGGGCCATGCTTTCCCTCCAGCGGTTTATCTTCATACTGCCCCTTCGAAATACCGGCGATTGCACAGAATTTGGCCCAGAGGGAATCATCAACTTCATAAAAAATAAAATAAAATTCTGAGCTGCTGATTTTAGCGTAGCAGAAAACTTTTCGGACAAGATAGCAGGGCACCTCCTAACACGCGTGGTATGAGTTACCTTGGACTAAGACACCCCAGAAGCCGCTTCAGGGCTGCTGTCCCCGCCAAGGGGGACAGGATCAGCCCCTGGGCGTCCATATGGGAATGAAGTTATTCACGTATCATACGTTTTTTCGTAAGTCCTAGTCTGCATCCTTCAATATTTCGGGAGTGAATATGCTGCAGACAGAAAGAGTTTTTCCATCCATGTTTTATGCTGAAAAGCAGCTTTTCAGTAGGTCAGCCCACAGATGAGGATGGGTGGGAAGGGAAAATTTAAGTCAAAAACTTCTCAGATTTTAGGACCAATTGCAGAACTATTCTAATATAATAAAGAGAATAAAAAATGACCAGTACCAAAGACACAGACAGGAATCCTCAACCCCCTTTGCAATTGGGGCCAATTTAAGGTCTCGTCTAGCTCTATAAAATAAGAGTATGGCCACTTACTCTGCGATATGCAGACAAGTTTCTCTAAACTGAAATGTATTTAAATCATAGTTCATCTCTTTGGATGTTTCTATGCAACACAGAGAGCATTAGGGGAGCTTAATGGAATCCAAATTTTTCTCCGGAATTTGCTGATAATCTTTTTTGAAACTAAAAAACAAAACAAAACAAAACCCCCACCAAACCCAAAAAACTCCTGACCACGACGCAAGTACTTCCAGCATGAAAACAGATACTAAATCATTGCAGAATTACTTAGATCATTTCACATTAATGATGTAACATGGGTGCGCAAAAGAAGACCTAAAGGACAGGGCTGGGAAGCGAGGGAAGGAGGGAGATGGAGAGGTGGAAGGATTGCATTAAAAGGCCTCTGGAGTGTATACCTCTGCATCTTTTAAAGATCATATACCTGAAGTGAATATCACCAAAATAAAATAAAGGAGGGGGGAATTAAAATTCAGATGCTGCCTTTTTTTCCTGTTTTGTTTTAAAAGGGCGGGGGGGGGAAATAAAAAAAAATAAAAATCACGCGCCTCAAACAACCAAGGACTTGACAAGGCCACAATGAAATTTGCGGATATGTCTGTACAAATCCCCAGACTGCGTGAACCGTCTCTCGCACCACTTGCACCCGTGGGGTTTCTCCCTGGTGTGCACCACCGCGTGGCGGCTGAGGTTGTGGGAATACTGGAAGCTCTTTCCGCACTGGCCGCAGGTGTAGGGCTTCTCCCCCGAGTGAGTCCTCTCGTGCCTCTTTAACGTGTACATGCAAGAAAAAGTCTTTCCGCAGAGGGTGCTTTTTTTACCGCACCCGTCGGGGCACTGGGGGGCCGGGGAGCCGTCCTTGTCGCGAAAGTGAGAGCTCAGGTGCAGCTGAAGGATGTGCGGGCTCGGGAACACCTTGCTACAGAGGGGGCAAATGCAGATATGCCCGGGAGGCACGAGGACGCCCGAGGAGGAGATGTCCGACGAATCCATGTCGTCCTCGCTCTCGTCTCGCTCTTGATCTATATCCTCCTCTCGGGCATGAGAGCTGCCATTCCCCGCAAACATGTGTCCTAACCCTGTCACTAGGCTTTTGGCTGAATTCCCAAAATGCTGACTCTCCGGACTCCTGGCTTCGCCGTCCTCCTGATCTGACAGCAAGTCTTGTTCATCTTTAACAAGTGGCTCGGTACCCTGCTGCTGGCTGTCGGAAGCCAGCTGTCCAAAGACATAGGAGGGGTGTAAGGAATCTCTCCCCGGCACGGGCTTGAAAGACAAATCCAGCGCGCAGTCCACATCACTCGAAGCCAGGGGATGGTTAACAGACCTTTGGGACAAAGGTCCTGTGGAACTATTGACATTAGCCTTTGTTTTTCCAGCTGCTGCGGCGCACGGTTCTGCCTCTGTCGGCACAGAGCTGACACTTATATGATCAGAGGACCAGGCGGGGTGACTGCTGACCTTTTCTTTGCCTGCCGCTCTCTCGTATTCTGCAACGCTGAATTTTTGTTTGTTTCCTGGGTCAAACTCGTGGACCAGGGGCACTCCGGCATCTAGAAAATGCTCCGCTTTCTCCAAACTAGCCGCCTCATCATTAATCTTCTCTTCCGAACATAATTCTTTATCTTTCAACTTGCCCTTGCAGACTTTCACAATGTCATACATGTGAAGGTAGCTAGCCGCAGCCAGCACATCTTCAACCGGGAGACTGTTGAATTCCAGCTTTCCCTCGTACATGAATTCGAGCAGCAGGCTGAAGGCAGGGGCTGTGACAATGTCACTGTTCAGATGCACAATATCCCTTTTGTCTAACTGGTCCCTGTAGAAAAGATGGAAGTACATACTGCAAGAGGCAAGAACGGCTCTGTGAGCTCTGAATTGAGCTTCTCCAACTAAAACAGTACAGTCACACAGGAAGCCCTGGTGACGCTGCTGACTCAGACACTGCAGCAACTGGCGGCTATGGTCTGGAAACTCCATTCTTCCTTCATAACCTGTTCAAAACAGGAAAAACTTGAATGCTACTGTAAACTAAAGCCTCCTAGCAGCTGTAACAAACAGATCGGCTTTTTGGTAACACAAGCCAAAGAAACAGCCTTGGAGATAACGTTTACTGTTAATTGTCTGTAATAGTTTTATTGGGGGGGGGGGGGCGGGGGGGGAGGAAAAAAC